ATCAACCACTAATCTACTTTTGTCTATGGATTTGGCAACTCTGGACATTTCTTGTATAAATATGTGATTTTTTTAACTGGCATATTTCACTTCGCATGTTTTCAGGATTCAGCCGTGTGATAATATATATCAGTACTTCATTCGTTTTTATTGCTAAATGATATTCTATTGTGTGGATCTATCACGTTTTGTGTATCCATTCATCAGCTCATGGGCATTTTGGTTGTTTCCATTTTTTGGCTATTATGAATAATATGAACATTGATGTTCAAGTTTTTGTGTAGACATATGTTTTGAGTTCTGTTGGGTATATTCCTAGGAGTGAAATTGCTGGGTAATATGGTAACTCTGTGTTTAACCTTTTGAGGAATTGCACCAAACTGGCTTCCAAAGTTGCTGCACCATTTTACATTCCCACCAGCTGTATAGGAGGGTTCCAGTTTCTCTACATCCTAACAACACGTTTTTAATCTGACTTTCTTATTATATTCATCCTAGTAGGTGTGAAATGGGATCTCATTGTGGTATTTCCCTGATGGCTAATGATACTGAGTATCTTTTTCATGCATTTATTGGCTGTTTGTGTATCTTCTTTGGAGAAATGTCTATTCATATTCTTTGTCCGTTTTTTACTTGGGTTGTTTGCCTTTATTATGGAGTTGTAAGAGTTCTTTATGTAGTCTATATAGAAGTCCAAGTCCCTTATAGGAGATATGATTTTCAAATATTTTCTCCCATTTTGTGGGTTGTCTTCTCACTTTCTTGGTGGTGTTCTTTGAAGCACAAAAGCTTTTAATTTTGATTAAGTCCGATTTATCTATTTTTTTCTTTAGTTGCTTGTGCTTTAGGTATTATATCTAGGAGTTTTATAGTTTTAGCTATTAATTTAGGTCTTTAATCCATTTCCAGTTAATTTTTGTGTATGGTATTGGTAGGGGTCCAACCTCATTCTTTTGCATGTGGATATCCAGTTGTGCCAGCATCATTTGTTGGAAAGACTCTTCTTTCCTCCATCTAATTGTCTCGGCACCCTTGTCAAAAATCAGTCAATGGTAAATATGAAGGTTTGTTTCTAGACACTTAATTCTATTCCGTTGGTCTATATATCTATCCTTATGCCAGGACCACATAGTGTTGATTGCTGTAGCTTTGTAGTAAGTTTTGAAATTGGGAAGTGTGAGTACTTCAACTTTTGTTCTTCTTTTTCAAGATTGTTTTAGCTGTTCTGGGCCCCTTGGACTTCCATATGAATTTAGGACAGCTTCATTTTTAAGCTAAGACCCTCAGCAAACAATATTAAGTCAGGATTTAGTACTGGAGTGTCCAAAAGATCTGTTCTGGATATGAACACTTCTGAAGAAACCCAAAGATGAGTTATTCCTTCAGGAAGGCATGAAAGAGTTGCTTGATGGTAATATGAGAGGGAGAAAATAACAAGACACCATAATTAGTTCATTGACAAGCAGGAAAAAAAAAATTGGCTTTCAGTTCACAATAGGAATCATACTGCATGTGATATCTGAGATTTAAAGGTGATTCTAATACAGTTTCATTTTACTTGAATCAACAATATCCACGGAAGCAGCAGCAGTCAAAAAATCAAACAATATATAGCATTGGGCAAATCTGCTCAAAAGACCTTTTTTAAGTTTTAAAAAACAAAGATGTCACTTTGATGATGAAGGTGCACCTAACCCAAGCCATGGTCTTTTCAGTCACTTCATATGCGTGTGAAAGCTGGACAATGAAAAAGGAAGACAGAAGAAAAATTGATGCATTTAAATTGTGGTGTTGGCAAAGGATATTGAATATACCATGGACTGCCAGAAGAATGAACAGATCAGTCTTAGAAGAAATACAACTAGAATGCTCCTTAGAAGCCAGGATGGCAAGCCTTCAGCTTGCTTTCTTTGGACCTGTCATCAGGAAAGACCAATCACTAGAAAAGTATATGCTGTTTGGTAAAGTCCAGGGATAGCAAAAACAAGGGAAACCCTCAGTGAGATGGATTGCCACAACAATGGGCTCAAACATACCGATAATGATGAAGACAGCACAGGACCAAGCAGTTATACATAAGGTTGCTATGAGTCGGAGATGACTCGATAGCTAACAACAGCAACAGCTAGTACAAGATCTGATGATGCTTCATCTAATTTAGCCGAGGTTGCAGGTCGCTATGTGTTGCAATCAACTCGACAGCAATGGGTTTTGGTTTTTTGGGGCAGTTGCTCTCAGGCAGGGAGAATAAGCCTTGGCTTATTCAAGGAGATCTGTGGATCATTACTGCTTGCCATGTTGTTTATACCCCTAGAGCATGGCCTAATGTTTGCATGTTCGTACAAAAAGAAAAGTTTGTGGTAATCTGGGAAGACTCAATCTGGACTCTTTCCAGGCTCTGCTCCAGTTATTCCACCAGCGTCATGGAAGTTTTTGCCCCAGGGATTCTGGTTTTGAATCTTACGTAGTGTAGGTATATGAAGATTTCTATCAGCTATAGTATGAATCATGTGTAGGAGAATTTTCTGGGACTTCTAAAAATAGCCCTCTGCAGTATATTTTAAGGAGCCCTGGTGGTGCAGTGGTTAAGTGCTCAGCTCTTAACCGAAAGGTCAGCGGTTCAATCCTACCAGCTGCTCCCTGGGAGAAAGATGTGGCTGTCTGCTTCCATAAAGATTACAGCCTTGGAAACCCTATGGGGAAGTTCTACTCTGTCCTATAGGGTCACTCTCTTAGTTATCTAGTGCTGCTGTAATGGTAATACCACAAGTGGATGCCTTTAACAAACAGAAGTTTATTCTCTCATAGTCTAGTAGGCTAGAAGTCCAAATTCAGAGAGTCAGCTCCAGGGGAAGGCTTTCTCTCTCTGTTGGCTCTGGAAGAAGGTCCTTCTTATCAATCTTCCCCTTGACTGGGAGCTTCTCTGTGCAGGAACCCCAGGTCCAAAGGATGCGCTCTGTTTCTGGTGCTGCTTTCTTGATGGTATGAGGTCCCCCTGTCTCTCTGCTTGCTTCTCTCTTTCATATCCCAAAAGAAATTGGCTCAAGACATAATCCAATCTTATAGATTGAGTCCTGCCTCATTAACATAACTGCCGCCTATCCCTCCTCATTAACATCATAGAAGCAGGATTTACAACGCATAGGAAAGTCATATCAGATGACAAAATGATGGACAATCGCACAATACTGGGAATCATGGCCTAGCGAAACTGATAGACATATTTTTGGGGGACACAATTCAATCCATGACAGTCACTATGAGTCGGAATTGACTGGTTGGCAGTGTGTCAGTATATTTTACCTGGAAGTTCTATTTGCAGAGTCGACCCCTCCCCTCTACATGTGTAGGGGCTTGGTCACAGAGAAGGAAGAGTGTCTTCTGACAACAGTCCCAAAGGAAATTGGGACAGGTTGGAAACTGGGAAAGAACCAAAGATAGTTAGAAAGTCACAATACTTGAGTGGTTTTAGTAAACCAAAGCAAAGAAAGTTCACTTCCCCTCAAGCTTTCTACAACTTCTTGTCATCCAGGCATGGACCAGTAACATGAAACTTGCTTCCAGAACGGAGAGTGCCCAGAAACCAAAAAAAGAGGCAGGCAACACCAGGATGGCAGCAAAGGAGTTTACAGATGAGGCGAATCCTGGACAGCCCCAGGACCAAAGCAGATCTCCATGCCTTGCAATGGAAGGGCAGAGGTTTTATAGTGGTGGTGGACAATAGTGGCTACATGCCAGGGATTTACATAAGAATGCAAACTATAGTGAACTAACGCACCACATGAGGGTGCTCATGTTCAGCCTCGCAAAACCTGTTTCCCCTTCAGTCCACCCCTAGTGGCCAACGTACAATCTGGCATGTTCCTTCTCTTGTGCTGCAGTATGAGAGACCCCATCTTCTCCCCACTGGGAACAGATATAGAAGTGGTGTTGGCCAGGTGCCGTATGGTGCCCGCACATGTGCAAGAGACAGAGAAAGTTACTGTGTGGCCAGAACAAGGGGAAGCCTTCTCTGATAAGGGGAAGGAACAGAGAGAAGGCAACCCAATTCCCAGCCTTCTTATCAGAGAATGTTGTAGGCCCAAGCCTTTACTTAGGCAGCCTGGATGGGAAGTGCAGAGGCAGACCATTCTCCCAACAGCTTTGCACTCTCAAATTTGCCTTTTACTATCTTCGTCCACATTTTGGCAGAATCAGACATTCTTACTTTAAGGCAGAATTACTCTTCTCTCTCTCTTTCTCTTTTGTACTTAATGCCAATCAGTTTGCCTTCCTTCTTGCTTTTTAGGCAATTTAAACTTTACTCAGAGGGTTCTTATGTGCTGTCATAGTGGAAATAATGGTATACGTGGTGGAGTCAGAGTCTGAGATTTTACCCTACTTATAAGCTACGTAAGCTCTCCTATTACTGTTCCATGGATGTGACAGAAGACATGAGTCTCCTGGGTCAGAGACAAAGGACTTTATTCCTCACAGCACAGCAAGCAGCATGACAGCATGTTTACATCAGTTCTTCTTGACCCCTATCAAGTCCTGTGGGGGTGATGTGGAGGGGCCCAGGTACACCCACCATGGGTTTGTGTCAAAGTCAGGATTACTGAACTTGGGAAATTCACTGCTTTTATAGTGAGCAATTAGCATGCCTGCTCTTTGGGGAGTGACGTTATCTTGTCCCTCAAGGTTTCTCGCTGCAACACAACCCTGAGGTGGCCTGGGTAAAATGCGCGCAGGAGTGTACATTCTTGGCGTACTCAGAAAGAACATGCCAGGATGCTCAGGGCCCAAGGTGGATTGCCTCTCCAGCAAGGGGCCCCATGTGAACAAGCGAGCTGTGTTGTTGTCTGTATTTATTGATGATTCTCTTTGGGGATTGATTTAGAGAAAGTGCAGGGAATTGTTGGGTCTGGTGGCACAGTGTTTAAAGCAGTTAGCTGCCAACCAGATTGTCGCTAGTTCAAACCTACCAGCCACTCTGTAGAGGAAAGATGTGGCATTCTGCTCCCATAAAGATTACAACTTTGGAAGCCCTATGGGGTAGTTCTCGTCTGTCCTGTAGGGTCGCTATGAGTCGGAATCAACTCGACGGCAGTGGTTTTTTGTGTTTTGTTTTTTTTTAATGTGTCCCTTGGAAATGTGTGGATACTTGTCCTTCTGTTTCTTCACAAACATGGAACATTGGTTCTTCTGGTGGCCCTTTCTTAGCCACACATGGGCTTGCGTTCCTTTGGGAACAGAGGACTTTTGCTCTTGTATTTATTTAGGAGGCTAGATGTTTTATCTGGAGAGCCATGAGTTTATTTTTATTTGTAGATTATTTACTTTCTAAGGCGTTTTGAAAATGTTCAGCCGTGTGTTGAAGATCATCTAAACTAGCAGTCTCCCACTAGGCACCTACTCTGGAGAACCCGGCCCGGGGTAGTGGGATGTGAACCCTCTCACGGACTGCCTGGACTAGAGTCTGAGGGGGAGGAGGGAGCAAACATGCTCTCTGGGCCGTGTCCCCACATGTCCAGATGGATCTGAGCTCTGCCACCTCTGGGTCCTTTCCCACCAAGGCAGCCTGGCCCCAGGAGAGAGGTGCTATGGGAATCCCAGCTGGTCCATGCTCAGGAAAAGCCTCCACCCTGCTCTCCCTCAAGCCCTCGCTCTGTGTCTTCCTTCTTCTCAGAGACGGGCAAGTGCCTTTCACGGGCTAAAGCCTCGCCCCGGGCCCAGCTGTCCTGCAGCAAGGCGGGTGGCGTGGAGAACTGCCTCTTCTCCTGCCCGGCCCACACACTCTTCATGCCAGGTAACCTGAGGCCAGCTGGGATGGGAGGTTGGGCGGGGGCCTCCTCCCCTGGGGTCCAGCCCTGCTCCCTGCTGGTCTCCAGGAGATAGCTCAGCCTGAGAACCAAGGGCCCACCCTGGCCTGACTTACTGAGGGACCCTGGCACCATCTGGTTCTCTGAGGGCCTCGGAGTCCTTCAAGGTAGATTCAGTAGGCTCCTTCCTGCCCAGCCCTTACTGTGTGGCCGCGTAGTGGAAAGGCACGGACGTAGGGTCAGTCCTGACTTGCATCTCATTCAGTGACCCCTCTGAGGCCCCAGGGACCTGGGGACCTGGAAAAGAAGTACCCCCAGGCCCACCTCACCCACTGGCCCCTCTGCAGACTCGGAGAACAGCTACATCCTGAGCTGCGGTGTTCCAGGGCTCCAGGGCAAGACGCCGCAGAAGCGCAATGGCACCACCTCCAGCTCCGAGCCCAGCTGCTCAGGTAGCCCCTTGGCCTGCCCGTGCCACACACACCTGGGTGACCCGTTGACTTCGTTCCAGCACCTTGCTGGAGGGAGAGGGAGGTCCCAACACAGGTCCTGGGGAGCTACGAGCAGGGCCAGGACCTAGAAGCCAGTAGGCTACAGGCCGAGTCCCAGCCCAGGGCCATGGACTGTGGGAGGGACCTTCTGGCCCTGAGGTTCTGACCCGTGATACCAGAGTCGTTCAAGGGCTCCAAGATGCCCTGAGTCTGTGGATGCTGTGTCTGTAGAGCGAGTCACATCTGCTGTGGCTGTCAGGTTCTAGCGTCTCCCATTGTCTGAGTTTCCCTCATTGTACTCAGAAGGGCGAGGCATGGGGAGAGCCGGGAGGCCGGCACTGTGGTAGGCCTCAGGCAGCAGGGTGGGGCCTGCTGCCCCAGCTTAGGAGAGGGGGCGTGTCTTCAGCAGCTCTTCTTCTTCAGGGTGCTGGATTCGATACCAAGGTGGCACGTGTGTACGCTTTATGCGTGCATGAAGTGATAACAGGATTTTTTAGTCCCGGGCGAGGGTTGTGATTTGCTATTTGGAGGAATCTGCGTTTCTGGTTTCTGCGCCTCGGTAGTACGGGTCGCTCTGAGTCGGGTTGGGTTTTTTGGTGTAGTATTTCAAATCCCCTTCACTTCCTTGTTTCCCTTTCTCTTCTGTCCTGACCCTCATTTCCTGTCTTGGTGATGGGGGAGGAGCCAAGAGGCATTCCTTTTCTTCTCACAGAAGACCCCTCCCTGGCCGTGCTGCTCCTGGGCTTGAACTTGACCCCACTACCCCCACTTTTTCAGGCTCTGCAGAGAGAGATGGGGCAGAGGCATCTCCCCCACCCTGGGGAGGGCTGTTGGGGCAGAGTGACCCACCACAGCCCCAGCTCCCCATGCATCTGTCCTTGTCACCCCCAGACACTCAGACACTCCCTACGGCAGCCCCTGTCCCCGCCCACCTCCTTGCCTGTGGGAAGGGCCACCACCTGGGGGAATTTTGGCTTTTCCCAGATGCCCCAGCAGCGCCCCCCATCAAGCAGAAGGCCCGCTTCAAGATCAGAGATGCCAAGTGCCACCTCTGGCCACGCAGCCACGAGCGAGCAAAGGAGGTGCCACGGCAGCCACTGCTGGGTGAGTGGCCGTCCTGGTGCCAGCCCACACGGGGAAGGGGGCATCCCCCACACCTTGGAGGTAGGTTTCTGAGGATGGGACCCTGTGCCCTCCCCACCGTGGTCCCATGCCTGGCGCACTGTAGACAACAGTGGTCTCTTGGGAGGAAGGCCAGCGTTTGAGGTGGAAGGGGATGCTCTAGCACCCCTGGGGTCCACTGTCCCTGCTCGCCCAGAGCCAGGACTTTCTCAGCAGCCTGCATGTAAGTGGGCGGGTTCCAGGGTTCACCCAGTGATGCCTGAGTGCCTGAGGGAGGCCAAGGACATGCTAGGCCAGGGGAAGGGCCCGGGGAAGCATCCCAGCCCTATTTCCCTGAAGATTCCAGAAGATCCTAAGATTCCTCCTCCAACCTGACAAAACTCACAGCCCTCAGCAGAAATGGCCTGGGGTCCGAGTCCCCGGGGCCAGGCCCTCTGTAAGCCCACGGCTGCTGCACATCTTCCTCAGTAAAGTAGGCACCAGTGCCCGGTGTGCAGCGGGTACGGGCTCAGCCACCCGCTCCTCCTGAGACCTGGGGCCCGCCCTAGCCTCTCCAGCCTGTTTCCCCATCTGCACCGTGGACTATTAGCCAAGGCGGGCCCCTTGCCAGCGTCCCTGCTCCCTGCCACCTTTCCACGCCACAGCCATCCCTTCCCTTGTCCAGACAACTGCGACGTGACTTTCATGACCCTCAAGTGTGACTCCTCCAAGAAGAGACGTCGTGGCCGCAAGTCCCTGTCCAAGGAGGTGTCCCACATCACAGCAGAGTTCGAGGTGGAAGTGAAGATGGAGGAGGCCTCAGGTGGGTGAGGGGCTCCCTCGTGGGCCTGCTGAGGGATCCCAGCTGAGCCACAGCTACTGGGGGCAGAGGCCGGCCAGGCCAGCGAGGGGACCCAAACAGACGCCTGGAGCCCAGGATGGAAGAGGCAGCCCAGGGACAAGGAGAGGAGAGGGGTCAAGGGACCACAGAGACAGCCAGCCCCAGCCCTCCACACCCTCACCAGGGCCTGCAAGGGATAATGCCTGCAGCCTCCCTGAAAGGTGGAGCCCAGGACCTGTCCCTCCTAGATTCCAGACGGTGACTTGGAATGCTGGCCTTGCCTCACCCCAACACTTCCTGCTTGGCTGCAAATGAGTATTCAGTGTGACAAAGGAGCTGAGATCTGTGAAAAACATGTGCTGTGTGTGCCCAGCCCTGGGCTGGGTGCCGCGGGAAGATGGGACCAGGCTATGGTCCCTGCCATGGCGGGGCTACCAGGCCAGGGGGAGGTAGACATGGACACAAACTGCCCAGTGATCGTGAGACATCAGATGGAGCAGGTGTGGAGACAAACGGGCTCAGAGCTGAGGCCTCCCCAGTTCGAGGCCAGGGAAGACTTCCCAGACGAGGCACCCCTTGAATCAAGGCTTGAAGTCAAAGTTCGTCGGGTGGAACAGATGGCAGGAAATGACATTCAGGCAGGGGGAATAGCATGCGCAAAGGCACAGAGGTCAGGGAACAGTGAATGAGGCAGGGTGGCTAAAAGTGGAGTTGACAGTGAGGTCAGAGTGTTGGGGCTTAAGGCTGACAAGGCAGGCAGGAGCCAGATGGCGAGAGGCTTAGGGTTCCAGGCCAGAGAGCTGGACATTTTCCTGGGAGCAGTGTCTGAGTGGCAGGGAGAAGTCCCCGCTCAGTGGGTTGTGCTCCAGGAAGATGATGTGATGCAGTGGGCAGAGGCCTGGGTGTGTACGCAGCTCTCAGGTCACACCTGTCCAAGCCTCAGTCTCCTCACCTGTCAGATGGACATGGCAGTGGCCCCTCACCCTGGGGTTGCTGTGAGGATTGGGTGAGGTAACCAGTGGAGGCCCAGCCAAGCCAGGCACAGGGACATTCTCCGTGGGTGGCTGCTCCTAGTAGTGTTGGGGCTGTCATGCCTGTGGTTACTCTCACTCGACGTCTCCCACCCCTGCAGACAGCTGTAAGGTGGACTGCATGCGGAAGCGAGCAGAGCAGAGCTTGCAGGCTGCCATCAAGACCCTGCGGAAATCCATCAACCGGCAGCAGTTCTACGTCCAGGTCTCGGGCACTGAGTACGAGGTGGCCCAGCGGCCGGCCAAGACCATGGAGGGGCAGGGGACATGCAGCACAGGCCAGGTGCCACAGGATGGCAAGTGTGGTGAGTCCCTGCCTGTGGCCACTCCAAGGTGGACTTGGCAAACGTTCTCTGTCCTTCCTTCCACATGCACCCTGGGTGAGCAGCAGTGGGCACACAGGGAAGACAGACACGCGGGGAGGGGACAGAGAGACACGAGGTCATGAGAAAGGCCCGCCAGAGAGAAGAACAATAGCACTCATAGCAATAGTTGTCATTCAGAGAGCATGGCCCTGGTGCCAGGCCCTGGGCAAGGCTCTCTGCCTGTGTTTTTCATATGGGAGAGTGCAGGCAATAAGGCCACAGTGTGGGGGGGGGGGGGGGGTGCGTGAGTGACCTCCTGCCCAGGGTGGGGTGTGGTTGAAGGAGACTTCTCAGAGGAAGAGATGTATCAGCCGATTCCTCTTTTACTCATTGGGTTGTAATCCATTCCTGTCATCTAGTTTAATGCCCAGATTGTCCCCGGTTTAGCCAGTGCACTCCCCATCAAGCTGGCTTCTGTGTCCTTTTAACACGTCCCCATCATTCATTGAACATTTCCTTGTTTTCTGGCACTACAAGATGTTTCAGACTCAACTTGTACTCTCCCTGCCCCAGGCCCTGGGATCTGCCAAATGTCCAAGGGCCCTGGTTCCTTCTAAAAGAGGATGATATGTAGACACCAACATCTGGGTGCTTGGGTGCTCACTGCTACTGAGATATCATTGCTTCTAGGACTCTCAGTGGACAGAGCTAAGAGATACACGTAGGTATTTATGTACACACACAGGCACACACACATATGCATCTATACTATTTCTATAGATGTGTGTGTGTGTGTGTGTGTTACAAAACCATGAGTTTACACCAATACCCCTAATTCCAGTTCAGTACCTCAGGGTTCTTTGTAATCATCCCCCAAACATGTTTGTAAATATTTTCTCCAGCAGTGAGAAATTTTGTTCCCTTTGTCCGTAATTTACTTATTTACTCAGTAAGTTTACTTATTTGCTCAGTAAGCTTACTTGTTAAATCTCCCGTTTACTTATTTGCTGAATATAACCAGTCTCCCAAGCATGCTGACTCTCTCTTCAGCCCCCACCCCACACATTCCCCTTATGCCTCACTCCTTCAACCACCAGGCCCCTCTCCCCATGCGTCTGTGCACCTCCCCAGCCTCTCTCTGCGGCCCATGTCCTCAGGTGGAGGGAGAGGAGGGGAGGGGAGGGGAGTGGGCTCAGTTCTGGATGAAACGACCGCAGGGCATCAGGTGGAGACATCCAGGAGGCAGTTTGGTGAACAGGCCAGGAAGTTGGAGCTGGAGGCAGGATGGGAAGCTGTCCGTGTCTGGCATCACCAGAGCAAGAAAAGAGGTCCAGGCAGAGCCCTGAGGAATATAGGCTGAGGCGGAGGCCCTCAGAGGACCCTGAGAAGGGAAGCAGGGAAGGAGGAAGAGACCAGGGTCAGGCCTCCAGGGTGTACACAGGTGTCTGCTGCCTGGTTCCTAGTCCCAACTCTTCTGGGACAGGCCTGGGGCCCATCTGTGTCCTCTAAGCACCAGGAATGAGACCTGTGCCATATCTGGTAGCAGAGCCCTGGACTGTGGCACCCAGCAGACAGAACACCCGGCCCCCGCTCTCCCCCAGCATCCTTTTCCTCTGCCTCTGCAGTGAGCTGTGGCCCTGGCACCTACTTCAGCGGTGAGCACAGCAAGTGTGTGCCCTGCACGCCGGGGACCTACCAGGACATGGACGGCCAGCTCAGCTGCACGCCGTGCCCCAGCAGTGACGGGCTCAGCCTGGCAGGTGCCCACAACGTGTCCGAGTGTGGAGGTGAGAGGCGAACGGGGCAGTTGGGGCTCTCCTATCTCCACTGAGGCCCCCAAAGCAAAGGCCCCGGTGCCCCACATGACTGTAGAGCACTCTTTGGTGAAGCTCTTTGCTGTTTCCAAAGCATTTCACAAGCTCAGTGCAACTACTGCTTATTTTAGAGTACACAACAGATGCCAAAGTCCCCCACATGGTTCAGAGGACACTGCAGTTAGTATACCATAGATGCCAAAGCCCCCACACACACACAGCTGAGCACGCACTGTAGTGAACAAGCTCTGCCTTCATTCAGAGGACTTGTAAAAGTTTACACCATGCAGTTTGGAAAGGATTTCACAGTTTACAGGTACTCTCATTAACAGATAACTCGCAGTTTATAATGGAGGTACATACCTGCCTTCTGGTTGACCACACATTTTACATTTTACGGAGCACGCCGTCATCATCAGGATGGTTTATGGGGTATGCTGTGTACTTGGGCAAGAAGTCTGCTGTACACAGAGAGCTTTACAGTGTGTCCTGTAGAGGGTTTGTTAAGCCCCTTTTCACTTTACCAAGCACAGTTTGGTTTGCAGAGAGCGTTTTCTGTCCTGCTTCATGTCGTCTGTGAAATGGGCTTCCCTGTTAGCCTCCCTCTCTGCACCCCTGTGGGCATTGCCCAAGGGAACAGGTTGGGAGAGGCTCACTATCCTGCGGAGCATGGGCACCTGCGGGGGTGGGGTGGGGTCCTTAGGGCAGTGGGGACCTCTACAGGACCTGCCTCCTGCCCCGCTTTCTCCAGGAGACAGAAGAGGTCAGAGCCCAGTCCTGAGACTCTGCAGGCTGGCGGGCGACCTCTGGCCCACAGCCCCTCAAGGAGTGTGGCCTCCACCCCAGGGAGGAATGGTGTCCGTGGAGAGCACAGGGTGGCCACTGGTGGGAGCATCATCATGGTTCCAAATCAACCAATTGTCGTCAAGTCAATTCCAATTCATAGCAACCCTATAGAACAGAGTGAAACTGCCCCATAGCGTTTCCAAGGAGCGCCTGGTGGATTCGAACTGCCGACCATTTGGTTAGCAGCCGAACTCTTAATTACTAGTTAGAAGCCCAGAATTCCAGGGTCTGGGCCGAGAAGGCACCAAGCACACCCCTCTCTCAGTGCCAGAGTTCCCTCTGCATCCTAAGCTTCTGCTGGAATGTTAGAGCATTCTTTATGTGGAGCTGAAACCGGCTTTCCTGTTGTCCCTTTGCCCCAGCTGTGCCTCTGGGGGCCTCACGGACCCTCCTTCCTCTGCTCTGGGCCAGCCCTGCAGATGGACAGGGCGGTGGTTAGCCCTGGGCCAGCCTTAACTGCCCCACCACCTCCTGTGAAGACACCAGTGTGGCCTGCCCCCTGGGAAGAGTGCCTCTAAATGCCTTCACGCTGCATGTGGCCTGCGTGTCCCAGTGTAGCAGCAAGGCCACGTCCGAAGCTCTTCCTACTGGCAGGAGATGTAAGCCCGGTTGGCCAAGGCCACATCCCAACTGGGGGCCAGGCCTCCCACCACCCAGGCCACAGCATCCCCTGGCCCTGGCTGCATCTGAGCCTTCTGCAGGGGCTGAGCCATGACCTCTGACTTCCAGGCCAGTGCTCTGCCGGCTTCTTCTCCACCGACGGCTTCAAGCCCTGCCAGGCCTGCCCCCTGGGCACATACCAGCCCGAGCCGGGGCGCACCGGCTGCTTCCCCTGCGGAGGGGGGCTGCTCACCAAGCTCGAGGGTGCCACCTCCTTCCAGGACTGTGAGACCAGAGGTGAGCCTACCGCATTCTTCTGTGTGTGCAGTCACACACACATGCTGTCACGCACACGCTTTCATGCACGTGCTCCCACTTACACATTCACACTCCCGCTCCCGCTCACACTCACACATGGTGTCACACACATTCACAACACTCAGTCCCACACGCACAACTCACACTCAGGCAGTGACTGACACACTCACACTCACATACACCCGTACACTGTCACACCAACTCACACTCACATTCACACATGGTGTCACACACATTCACAACACTCAGTCCCACATGCACAACTC